TGGGAAATGCTACATGATGGTTTGTTCAGAAGGAAAATAATCCCAGGATGTAGCATGTATCATGGGGTCAAAATCTGGGACTCCCTATTGTAATTTGATTTCGATTATTAATTCTTCTATGAGCACATGAATCACAGTATTTCTGTTGTAGTGAACACAAACTGATCACATTCCCCCATGTGAAAACACACACATAAAAAAGACCAAGTAACCTGACAAAACATTGGCCTTCTACAAAAAGGACCAAGCAACAATTCAGATTACAGTACTTAAAGCTTGCCTGCAAACACAGAAATCGACAGCATATATTTGCCACAAACATAGATGTTGCCTACAGAAACCTTTGTCCAACTTAACTACTGTGTGAGTTTGCCTACATATATACAGGATGAGTACTTGAGTTGCCTACAAACACATAAATGGACAACGTATATTTGCCTAATATGCAGGCAACAGAGATGAGGTTTTGCTGTAGGCAACGTAATTAGGCAACCAACACAGTATGTAGGCAAACAGAGATGAAGTTTTGCTGCAGGCAAACAGCTCTGACGCGATTTTGGTTTGAATCGCCGGCGAGGACTACGATTTCGCCTCCCCGCTCACGATTTTAGTCTCTAGTTTGCTCCCCTACCCTTCTTCCCCCAGAAACGACGAGAAAAAAAAATGGAGAGCCGCCGGAAAACTGACGTGCGGTTCGTAGATGTGGCAGAGACGCGTTGGTTCCTCGTCGGCCAGCCGCCCACGCGCGCCCCTTCCTCTCTTCTCCCCGTCGCGTCCGCGGCATGGCGTCTCGCCCGTCGGTCCACTTGCTGGCCACGCACGCGGTTCCCCTCTGCCCCGATGTGGGTGGTCGTTCCAACCGGAGAGGCTCTCCCCGTCGGCGGTGGACTCTCCCCGGCTATGGTGCGTCGAATTCCGGCGGCTAGGGATTGCTGGATTCAATCGCCCGGTGTGGAAAGCAGAGGCCTCCTGGAAAGCATGAGAGAGGGGAATGGGAGATGGGGAAGAACCGGAGGGGGGCATTTCCAAAATTCCAAAACGACAAAAGGCACCGCGCTTCGGTCGGATTCTCTCCTCCACGTGTGGTGTCCTTGTTTCTGATGGACGGTCGTCGTGTGGCCGCTCCAGCGTTCGGGAGAGCGCGCGCGCGTCAGTCAGCGTTTAGGAATTTTGTTTCTGATTATGGGACAGGAAGCTGGCCCTGCAATTTGAACCAGACTCATCCGTAAAAAAAAAAAAACAGACTGGTCAAGCCCAACTAAAACGGAAAACTCGACATGTACTCTGGACCAATCCATCCATTTCGAATTACTCACGGATTAGATTTCACTGAGACAAGTCTTTGAAAAACAATTGAACGACCAATTTGTAGCTTTCGTGATACAAAATCAGTGGCACAAATAAGTACTCCGAATACAAATCTGACGACATCAATTTTGTGTCACGTAACGTACAACATTATAGAGTGATTGGTGGTCAAAGGCTCGTCCTAGCGAAACCTATTAAATTAGGACGTTAAGTCAAACTCTTGAGCTCAAATGCTCAGGAGTTGTGAACAGTAAAAAATAAAAATAGTCTGGATTTTTTTAACAACAAACATTGTTGAATGTTCTACAGGCGTGAACAATTTTGCAAAGAAAAAAACATTCCTAATGCTCCGGGCGAAAAAAAGAACAAAAACGGTGCTCCAAAAAGACTAATTTTGAAAGCATATTCGTCCAATCAAATCCATAGAACATCATTGCAGGGCCAAAAATTTGAGGCTCACTGCAGTAATCTTGAGGGGGGAAAGGACCTGCTTGCACCGTAAACATGACTGCATCCAGATATCAAACACCTCCATAGGTATCAGTAGGTCAGATAATTAAGCACAACATTTTTACAGAAAGTGAGAGCATCTGAAACAATGGTGCTGCAGATGTACCATCAGACAGAAAAGTCATAAGTACAAAAATGTGTGAGAGAAGATGAAAGCTCCAACAACATTTACTTCATCAGAAGGAGCTACTAGTGCAGAAACATGGGGGCGAGTTTTTGGGACAATAATTTGCTGACACGAGAGGTCAAAAATAGCCATGGCATAATTCCAACCTGCAACAGAAACACAAACACGAGGGGTATTAGAGAACATAGAACAGCGTAACTTTTGTGTTAATTCCTGTGAAAATATCCAGCAAATTAGCTAGGACATTTGGATAATCTTTTCCAAACATGTGCATTCAAGATATTTGGGAGCAAACGATTAAAGGAAGCATGAAATAGGACACCCGCACACTGTATTTGCCAATCCTGCAAGTTTATGTATGTACACAGTAGGGTGTATCCCCAAAAGGAAATTCCTATTCATGTATTCCAGGAGAATATTTTTAGCATTGTGATAAAACCAAACTTGTCCTGTGCAAAGGAGAACCTTAGGCTAAACTTTGATTATGCTTACCACGACACGTCCTGTAGCAGCATCGACGCCTTTCCAGGAGAACATCCTTCCTGTAAATAATTCAAAATCATCAACTTCTTAATGCCTTGATGATGTGTTTTTCCGGCAGATACATCTTCATGGTTACACGTATAGTGTGTCCATGAAAACCAGTTTCGTTCCCAGAGAGTAAACAAGAACAAACATCCAACTCGAAAGTATGTTGCCTTTAGAGAAGTTGAAAGTATGTCAACATTCAATGATCTTACAGTCAAATATTATTGTATACCAAATATAAATGCAATTATACATATTAATGATCTGAAAACGGATAGAATGATATGGTAATTTGGCAGTTTGTCTAATTGTATTCGGTGGAGCTGGAGGGAGTATAAGGTTGATGAATTACTTTATTGGAAATCACTACACCACTACTTTGGGTAAAACTTTGTTTTTGCCACTCTAGCTTTTGCCCACTTTGCTTATGACATCGACAGTCTATCTCTGTACACACCTCTGGCTATTACTTTTTCAAATACAGAGATGTCAGTACTTGAATATGACAAACTCTAAAACTTGTGTTTGTATGAGCTCTCAAGAAAAAATAAACAGGACTAGCCTTGGTGGCATTTTTGTAAGAAGAAAGGCGAGCACCAACCCAGCGGAAGCTGAGCCTCAAACGCAGGTCGGAGGGCTGTCAACACTTCAGCATGCTCCAGCTTGCCAACTGGTCAACACCCAGTTCTCTGAAAAAACTTTGACCAACCAGGACCAGCCCTCGGTGGCATTTTTGTAATCTATCTATACCAATATAAAAAGACCCAAAGGGGCAGATCCAACTGATCTCGGCCATCGAACTAAGTCAATCCAACGACCTATACTGCTCCAATGGTGAGCGTTAAACGTGTTTAACATGCAACTAATATCATACCAAATATTGCACTAATCACAGGATTAACACACAAATAATAGAATACCTAATATCCGCGTGCAATTAATATATTGCCTAAATATTAACGTGTGTTGCGTTGCACATGCGCATTTACTAGTAAGAAGAAAGGCGAGCACCGAGGTTGAGCCTCGAACGTGAGTTAGCGGGCTGCGAGCAGTTCAGCCTGCTCCTGATCTGGCCTAGCCAACTGGTTGACACCCAGTTCTCATTTATATGAGCTCTCAATGTTTCAAAATGTCGAGTGTACACATTCTAAAATGATATACTATATATCACGATGAGCAAGCCTGGCAATTTAAAGCACAATGAGCAGACATCAGGCAGCTAATGAGGCTTTGGGTTTGGAACAAGTTAAGTGACAAGTGGCATTAACAAAGTGAGCAGACCTGGCAATTTAAAGCACAATGAGCAGACATTAGGCAGTCAATGAGGCTTTGGACGAGCTAACAAAGTGATAAGTGGCATTAACATACCGAAGGGCTGTAGAAGATGGTTGGGGACGGTAGCTACAGGTGCACTCCAAAACGACAGAACGAGCAAACCATAGACTAGGACCTACCACCAGATCAATTTCATGAGACACTCCTGAGGGTATAAATGTCAAATACAACAGAGAACAAAAACTAAAATCATGAAGCACCTTGGTAGCCTTCAGAACTTTGCCATATTTCTCATGTTGAGACTGCTTCCCCTTAATGTCCGACTGTTGCACTGCAAAATAGAAAGAAGCTTATTTGTGTGCTGCATACTGATGGATGAGATTTGCTTTGATATCAATACCGGTGGAGGGTTTTCGTCCCAAAGAAATATAATTTTGGTAATCGGCTAATATGAGAAGAAAGATCACAACCACACCCAAATGTCAAGGGAACTAAATGTTTCAATGTAGGCAGCCAAGAATTCAACTCTTACATTTGGCTAGATCCTTCTCTTTAGCAGCAGCCAGCCTCTTGAGCTTTGCGGCCTGCGCAAACGTCGAGGGCCTGCAACAAGAACAGGGAAGGAATCGATGACATTGCAAAACATAAAGTTCTGAAGAACAACTCTATCAGAATCACCAAATCAGAAGACAGAGGAGAGGGTGCCGGTAAAGAAATCGCCTACGTTGACAGTGCACTGGACTCCTTGAGAAGCTGCGTGATTGCCACCCGTAGTTTGACCTGCTCATCGCTCACTGATCCCCTCTGCAACACATGAACCGGTCAGGACAAGATTACCTGAACATAGCAGTCGAAATCGCGCAATGCAGCAGATCCACCAATCCTCCTCAATTCGCCACGAAATCGGTCCTACTCTTCCATAGAGACCGAATTCTCCGGGGGGAATCGGCGCCAAATTCATCGGAGGGAAAGAAGGAGAGAGAGAGAGAGAGCTTCCGTGTCGCTGACCTTCTTGGCGAGATCGAGCATGCTCTCGAGCACGTGCACCGCGCAGACGAGAAGGAAGACGAAGATGGCCGCCAGGGCCATGGTCGCCGGTGGCGAGCGGGGCGGCGCCGCCGCGCGTGGGGGTCAGGGCGGTGGCGGTGGTGGTGACGGGTTCGTGGGTGGGTGGGTCTCCGTTGTGCGCGTGCGTGAGCCCGACCGGCCGAGCCAGGTAAGGTGCCTTGTGCGCGGCGTGGAGCGATACGAGCCGTTGGTTGCTGGGCCATCTATCGCGCTCGACGGCCCGGATTGGTTCAGGAGACCGGATAGGAGCCGTAAGAGGCTGGAAGGGAAAGGCACCACCAGACCGGGGAGGCGAAGCGGGATCCATGGCGCTGTCGAGCACGGAGAAGAAGACGGCGGCGGAGGTGGTCGCGGCGCTGGAGCTGCACCGCCACCCCCACGGCGGCTTCTACCTGGAGACCTTCCGCGACCCCTCCCTCACGCTCCCCAAGTCCGCGCTCCCGCCCCAATGTGTGTAAGCTTCGCCTCGGATTACTCGCTGCATTCGCCTAGATTTCTTGATCTCGCGGTGGGATCTTCGACTAGACCACTCGGAGAATTGTAGAAGCGCTAGCTAGTTGCAGTAGCTCTTCAGTTTTCCTTGGTACTAGCCGCACTCCGTTTTGTGAGCTGGGGCTCGGTTAAGTGATGTTAATTACTTCTAGTTCGATATAGATCAGGAAACAGCACCATTGCTGGTGAGCGTTGCATTGTTCCGTGGTTGAAGCGGTGCCCGGATAATCCACTGAAGATAAAAAGGCCAGCATTTTGTTTGGCTACGCTGCTAATTCTCAAATCCGATCCGTCCGAAATGTTTGATTTGATTTCACTATTCTCCACCCCAATGGTTGCGGACAAAGATTAGACTCTTCCCCCAATCGCTCATGTACTTATTGCATCTTATTTACTCTCTGATTTGGTTTGAAGAAATTCATTGTTTCTCATGCTTAGAAAGTTTGTTGTTCATGTGCTATTTTCTAATTCAGAAAAATATTTTATGTCATTGTTTCCTGAGTTTTGCGCATTGACGTTCTCAAGCAATGAGCAATGCGTGTACTTACAAATTTGTGTCTGTAACTTCATGGATTTTGATGTCTTCTTGCACATAAAAAATTCAAGGTAGTAAGAATAAACGCACGAAGAAGAAAATACGTTTGTAAATTTCAAGACAATTAATTTTGCATGTTTGTTTTATGTTAGTCGAGCATGCTTTGTACCTGCACTATAGCTAGTGTTAGAAACCGTAGTGGTTGTTTTTAGTGGAGAAAGTGAAGTAGTTAGCACTAAGGGACTTGGGGTTATAAAAACTGTTCGGGATGTGCAAACCCCCGTATTTCTAAACCCTGACTTCTTGCTAGAAAAAAATACAAGCAGACTTGTTATTTATATTAGGTGATGCTGTCCATGTTTTAGAATAATTGTGGAAATAACATGAGCATGGCCCAGACTTGGCATATGACATTTACGTCTTACCGTTTATGAGATTTCGTAACCGCTCGAAAGGTTTGTAAATTAAAAGCCTTCTCTTGGATCTCCAACATATATTTTAATCCATCAGATTTTCTTGTTGAAAAAATCTGTCAGTCATTGCTAGTTTTCTGAACCTTGCGTGTGGATCTGCTTATTTATGAGCATGAATAAATCAATAAATTATGTTGAAAGGTTCATTTATCCTTTACTGTTCTGCCTTTTTGCCAGCCAACTAAATTATGCATGTCATAACCAAGCCAAAGTGTTGGTTGTCTCAAACATATACCATCCAAAACCTGTGACTTGGTGACATCATCCTAGCACACTAAATTGTTCTTTTATGGTCTTCTATTGTTATACAACTCAGCTTAGCCAAATTTGTGCTATAATTCTGCTGTGACTTGTCAGTTTGGGGCTATGACAACACACATCAACATTCAAAGGATTTTGCATCCTTGTGCCTATGAGCCCTCTTGTCAGAATAACGAGACAATCTGTTAGCTCACCTGAGCCATCACTACATTAACTTTCAGATGTTAGAACAAACAAACTATCAAACAAACTGAATAACTGAGACACTCGTACCTATGGTAGTAAGCCTTATCTGCTGCGTATCCTTAAATACTTTTTACAAGCACCATGCACTCAAAACTTCCGTAATTGGCTAATATAAGTGCAATGTCTAGTCGTTTCTGATATGTGTTAGTTTCTAAAGTTGGTAACAAGGAAACTCATAAGTTGATCAGTTGGATGTGCTGAGGTTTCTGAAGAATAACTTCTGTTAAGCAATAGGTCTTTCCTAATTTGTTACTTCGTGTTTAATTCTTCTAGATAAGGTGGACCGTGCTGTGAGTAGTGCAATCTATTTCCTGCTGCCTGCTGGGGAGATCGCTCGGCTGCACCGCATCCCTTGCGCTGAGGCATGGCACTACTACATGGGGGAGCCCCTCACGGTCTGCAAACTTAGCGCAAAACAAAGTTGCTGATCATTTTCTAAGTATGCTGCCCATCTTATCCAATATAATACCCATTTCAGGTATTTGAGGTGCATGATGATGGGCAAGTCAAGATGACAGTAGTCGGTCCCGATCTACGGAAAGGGCAGAGACCGCAGTACACGGTCCCTCCGTATGTGTGGTTTGGCGCCTTCCTGACCCACGACATTGAGTCCTTCACTGATGACGGCAGTGTTTTTGTCAAGACACCTGGACGGGACCCTGACCTGCACTATTCTTTCGTTGGAGTGACCTGTGCCCCGGCATACCAATTCGAGGACGATGAAATGGCCACACGCGATGGCATGAAAGCTTTGGCTCCTAACGCGGAAGCTTTCATCAATTACCTTGTTCCAGCTTAGTGCATTGCTGCTGCAAGTAGGTTGTTGTTTGTGGTGAACATCTTCTATCTGCTAGTTATTGAAAACTAATGTGTATGGGTTTCAATTATTTGACTTTAGAGAGTAGTTCAGTATGGAAGTTGATACTCATGTAATCAAGTATGCAAGTTCAGTAAGGTTTGCTCTTTTTTCATGAATAAATACCATCCACTGGTGATATGTGTTTCTGTCGTTCTGTTTATGCCTGGTGGGTGTCGTTCTTATCAATAATGAGAAGTGCATGAACTAGTGACGCTCATAACAACAGACATAAGGATAAACTACCAAAATTTGAATGGAATCATTCACGTGACTCCCAATTTAGCGTTCATTTGATCGCTGCATGATAAGTTGTTAAGCGATGTTGGTTCTACTTAGCCTGTGTTTTCTCTTTGGTGATGGAATGCTAGTTGTTAGTCTTTATTTTTCATGAACTTTGTAATAATACATTGTTTTTTTTGGTAGGTACATCGTCTAGATGTATAGGTTGAAAAGGGTAAGAAAAATTTGTTTAAAACATCGATAAAGCTCTTATAGTGGCTTATAACCTACCAAAGGAGCAAGCTCGTAACCAAAGGATTCATAGCTATTGACCTACCAGAGGACCAATAATTTCATACCACTGTCTACCGCATAACTCTTTTATAAGGAGCAAGTCTTCCCTAAGGAATAACTCGTTCCTCAGTTTACTTCTGCCTTAGAATTCCATTTCGTGCAATATTTGTCATGCCTCTTTGCTAAAGGCATTTGAATTTGATAGACATGGGCATAGAAGGCACCGGGAATTTTTGATGAATAACTCGAATTGCAACATCCACTCAGTCGTGCTTAGCTCCGAGCCTCATCCCCCGGGCCGGACGGCGCAGTCATTTTTTATGTACCAGCACTCAGATCCTTCGTCTATATCTTTGTACATGCCATTAGACCAACATGCTGTAGTTGGGCTACGCACCACATTATCATGCCATCTTTAATGTACCAGCACTCGCATTGCTTCTGGTTCAGTAAGTATGGGGGGAAGAGGCATGAGAGAGGGGGGCTGCCAGACAAAATGCAACATGGCTTGATGGATTTAATCATTCAGCCTTACAGCAGGGCAACAAATTTGCGATCAGTCTGTTTTAAAGTAGAGCCTCCAGATTTGTTTGCTTTTTAGCCTGACTTGTCGGAATGGCACCAATCACTAACTCAGGCAAAAGTTACAAGACTGGCCCCAAGGCCGTCTAATTTCATCAACAATTCTTGATCGCGTTCCATGATGTTATAACTAGTGAACCAAAAAATCAAAGCACCGATTAATGCACTTTGTAGCTATTGCCTAGTATTGCCTCGTGTGCTCTGACACTCCTCCTCGAATACTTGCAGACTTGCAAGACGGCACAGACGTTGCTAGCCGTAGGTGGCACCCTGTCGATTTGTGACTGCTTGTGGTGATGCCTGCTAACCGTGGGTGCCCGCGCATGTGGAGCATTTAGGAATTCTCATCAATGGTAAGTCACAAATGACAGGTTTGTAAAATGAAAATCTTCTCTCTAGGATCTCCAACAAATATTTTTAATCCATTAGTTTTTTTTCTTGTAAGTATCCATCAGTTAGTGCTTGTTTTTCTGAAGCTTGCACGCGGATCTGCTGGTTTATGAGCATTAATCAATAAAATTATGTTGAGAGGTTTCTATATCTTTTATACTTCTGCATTTTTGCTGGCGAAGTAAATTATGCATGTCATAACCAAACCAAAATGTTTGTTGTCTCCAACATATACTCCCTATGTTTCTTTTTACTTAGCATATAAGATTTGTTCGAAGTCAAACTTTGTAAAAGTTTGACCATGTTGTTAGAAAAAAAATCAACATTCACAATATGAAATCAATATCATTAGATGCATCATGGAATTAATTTTCATATTGTATAACTTTAATATTGTAGGTGTTGATACTTTTTAATATAAATTTGTTCAAACTTTATGAAGTTTGACTTTGGAGAATTCTTATACGTGGAGTAAAAAGAAACGGAGGGAGTACCATCAAAACCTATGACTTGGTGACATCAGCCTAAAACATTAAATTATTTATGGTCGTGTGTTGTCATACAACTTTGCTTAGCCAATTTTGTGGTATAATTTTGCTTTAACTTGTGAGTTTGGGGCTATGACAAGACACATAAACATTCAAAGGATTTGTCATCCTTGTGCCTATGAGCCCCACTGTCAGAACAAAGAGACATTGAATTATCTCTCAGATCACATGAGCCATCACCCTTAACTTTCAGATGTTACAACAAACAGACTGAATAGGAGAGACACTCAAACCTATGGTTGTAAGCCTTATCTTGAACCTATCCATAAATACTTTTTCAAGCACCATGTATGCAACTGGGCAAACAAGTTGAAGCTGAACTACACAAAATGAGGAGGTACAGAGACAGGGTAGAGAGGTTCAGAGGCAGCTCCATAAGCTAGACGCACAGAGCATGTATGAACGGGAACGGCACCCAGGACAGGATCGAGGCCCTAGCATCAGGTTTTGAATGGAAGGCCCAAGTTTTGAGGTCACAACAGCGTTGAGGCACCGCAAGTTCGGGCGCATCAGCCGGAACGCCACGCCGTCACACCCAGAGTAGGTGATCAGCTTGTAAACAGAGGATGTGAAGGCTTTGCTGCCTGTCAATGCTGGATCTCAGCACCCGGCAGTCTTCAGCGCCAGGAAACGGCTGCTGGGGGATGGCTGCCGCGAGGCATTTGAACTCTTCTTCGGCCACCGACGATAGCCTGGGTGCAAAGCAGGAACGAAGCTCGGAAGATAGGAACTTGCTGACGGAGGCGAAAAAATCAGTGGCATGGGAGTAGAGTGTTGGGAACTTGAGCCGAAGCGGTCCATCCACCGCTGCTCCAGGAGTCCGACCAGAAGGAGGTTTTTCTGCCGTCCCCAAGCTCCACCGTGGTGACGTCCCTGTACTGTACAGGGGGGCTCAGCTGTGAGACAGGGTGCCAGACAGCCGTAAGAAGTGCACGTTTGTCCTCGCACCCCTGAAACTCCCGCCAGAACCAAACCGCCCAAGCAGATTGTTGCAGTTGGTGTAGCCGATGGAGGAGCTTGAGGAGGAGGCCGCGATTTTGCACCTCAAGAGAGCAGACCCCGAGGACGCCGTTGCGCTCGGGGCATTCTGTAAGCATACTGTCCATCTATCCAATAATACCCATTTCATGTATTTGAGGTGGACGATGATGAGGAAGTCAAGATGACAGTAGTCTGTCTCGATCTACCGAAAGGGCAGAGACCACAGTAGACGGTCCCTCCGAATGTGTGGTTTGGCACCTTCCTGACCCAAGACATCGAATACTTCACTGATGATGGCCGTGTTTTTGTCAAGACATCCGGACGGGACCCTGACCTGCACTATTCTTTCGTTGGAGTGACCTGCGCCCCGGCGTATCAGTTTGAGGACGATGAAATGGCCACACGTGATGGCATGAAAACTCGGCATGAAAACTTTGGCTCCTAACACGGAAGATTTCATCAATTACCTTGTTCTGGCTTAGTGCATTGCTGCTGCAAGTTTTTTTCTTTTTTGAAAAGGGGTCAGGCCCCGGCCTCTGCAATTGCCGCGTGTGATATGATGTCCAATTATTTGACTTTAGAGAGTACCTTAGTATTGGAGTTATTTTTTTTAGAGAAAAGTCATACGCCCGACTTTATAAATAAAGCCATACGGCAAGTAACAACCACATCACAGAGAAGTACCAAACAACACCCAGGCCCCAACGACGGGCGAGACGGAAGAAAAGACAGTCAGGTACATGGCACCCTCGCCAGTACACGGCACGCAGGCCGAAAGAGAATGACCAACTGAAGGTAAAGCACCCGAACCAAAAGAAGCACTTAAACATCCCGCTCCTGTCTGCATAACTGGGATGCCGTAGCCCGGACTTTGGAGATCAGCAGAGAGAGCGCCTGTTGGTCGTTGACCTTAGTCAATGATTTCCACTGCTGCATGAAAGCACATGATTTAAACAAGCAGTTAGCAGGTTTAGCCAGAAACACACGTTCAATAGTAAATTTGTTCCTAGTCGTCCAAAGGGACCAGCAAAAAGAACCTAGGCCCACCCAAAAGATATGTCTAGATACACCCGAAAGATTGTCAGCCAAGCTGCGCAACTCAGAGAAGGAGCCAGGGGCCCAAGAGACAAGAAGCCACTCCCTAACGCAGCTCCAAATGAGTTTTGCCAGGGCACAATGGAAAAAAGTATGGTCCGTGTCCTCCGCAGCACCGCACAAAGCACAGAACTGGGAGCCCGGCCCATTTCTCTTACGAATTTGATCAGCCGAGGGCAACCGGCCTCTGAAAGCTTGCCACAAGAAAATCTTGATTTTGGGAGGAATACGGGCCTTCCGGATCTGGGAAAACCGATTAGTGGGCGTGCCACCAACAAGCCTAGAATAAAGCGACTTAACAGAGAAGCGCCCAAAGGCAGACAACGGCCAGACTACCGAATCCCTATTCGTCGAGAGCGATGGGGAGAAGGCAGTAAGACGTTGCTATTCTTCAAACTCTACAGGCGACAGGGAGCGGCGGAAGACCAAGTTCCACCCCTGGGCAGCCAACTCCGCAATAGAAATGCTAGGATCAGAACAATAAGAGAAAAGGGTGGGGAAGGACACCGAGAGGGGTGAGTCTCCGCACCACCAATCAAGCCAAAACCTAATCGAGGAGCCACTCCCAACAACAAACTTAACAAAAGATTGGAACACATGTCTAACTTTGACCAAGGACTTCCAAAACTGAGAGCCATCACGCGACTGAGCAAACATCGGGCTGGAGGACGGGAAATATTTAGCCTGAAGAATCGACAGCCAGAGGGGCTGATCCTCAGCACTCATAATCTTCCACCACCATTTGATCATCAAGCATTGGTTCATGATGGAAGTATTAAGGATCCCTACCCCTCCCCCCAAGGTTTTTGGGCCTGCACATCAAGTTCCACT